GTTCGAGACCAGCCTGGGCTACATAGTGAGTTCCAGGTCAGGCTCAACTACATAGTGAGACTCTGTCTCAAAAAACCAAAAAAAAAAAAAAAAAAAAAAAAAAAAAAAAAAAAAAAAAAAAAAAAAAAAAAAAGGGCCAGGAATTTAGCTCAGTGATTCTGCTACCTGCCTCGCAAGTGCAAGGCCCAGAGTTCAATCTCTGGTACCTAAAAAAAAAAAAAGGGATCCCCAGTGACAGTCTGCTCATTGATACGAGGATTCTGGGAGTTGGACTCCTGGCCTGCTGAGTCTGCAGCTATCAGCTGGGCTCATACAAGCTGGGACTTTTTTGCTTATATTTACTGTTTAATTTTCCCAATTGAATTTATTTTTGCCAAGGTCTTGTGATTGCTTTGCCCAAAGGAGAGATATAGAAACATAGATTGTAGGGAAATCTGGTCTGTGATTTACAAGGTGCAGTTGTTGCTAGATGGGGTGACAATCCAGTGACATAATCCCCTAGTTTTAGTGGCAGCTCCTGGCCTGAGAGTCTCTTTGTCTCTGAGCAACCTATGGGTTCCTTTGAGAGTGTCTGACAGCATTTTCCAGGGATTACAGGTTGTGGCACAGTCCACATGACATGAGGCCACTGACCATCCCACTGGGGAACTTTCCTACCTTAGTGTTATTTCCTTCAAGGCATGCTATTTTTGAAAAAAGCCTTGTTCTCTCTCAGAAGTGAATTTGCTTTTTAAACTATGTCAGGCAGTGATTTACTCTCCTTGTGGAGGGAAGCAATACCCATGTATGTTCTTCTGATTCAGTGCGGTACCAAACTTATACCCTATAGGCAGAAGAAAAGAGAACAAATTAGATATGAGCTGGGCTCAGTGAACAAGCTGACTGTCTTTGGGCCCTTGAGCTGAGAACGTGCTAGCAGAGATTCCCTAAATACTCACATGCACACTTCCCAGCAGTCTGGTCTGCCAGAAAGATCCTACACATGCGTGCCTGCTCCAGGCTCTCTTCTGGTCAGAGGCTGTGTAATGAACCCTCAGAAGATTAAAATCAAATGTTTGACCACCTGAAAGCAGCAGGCAGCTTGAGTCCAGAGATACTATTTCTGGTCTGTCAGGTTAGTGGCATCATTTCTTAATCTCAGAGAAAAATGAAGAACCTCTGGTACAAACTTGAGATAAAGAAGTGAACTATTTCCTGTCATCTCCCTTTTCCAGTTATGGTGTCTCCTCTATCTTCCAGAAACCCACTGGGTTTCTCTTGTTTTTCTAAGTGGGCATCCTTAGTTTCCTGAAGTGAGCAGCACACTGGATAGCCCCACTATCACCCAGCCTATCCACCTCCCCTCCCTTTCAGACCGACTCCCGTTGTTAGCCTCTGTTCACACCTATGGAAAGTGATTCTCTCTAAAGAGCAGCTGATCCTCCTTGGAATCGGGGAACTCTCAAGCATTCTTTTTTATTTTTAGTTTTCTATTCCGATCCCTGACCACCAACAACTGGGGAAGGAGAACACCGCCTATCTATTTTCTCTCATTCTTTCTCATTTGTGAGAAAGAAATGGAGTTACTCGTGCCCAGAGAAGATGCCTTTTGGCTTACCTGCTAGCTTTAATCTTCTTATTCCTTGTCACTGGTGATCAAAAAAGTGGGAATCCAGACTTTTTGAGTACAGTAAACCCATTTGTTAAATGGGAATAAATAAGCAGGCGTTTCCCTCATTAGGTTAGAAATGCACAAAGTTAGAAAGTAAGGCTGGAATTCTTGTCACCACCAGGAGTGGACACTAATTTGTTCCACTGAGATAACTGTCCCCGGATGAATTGCACCTATCCAGAGTATTACTGGCCCAGTGTTCAGGCTCATTCTAACAGCAGACATGAAAGAATTCTGTACTACACATGAGCTGCCCTACATTTTCCATTAATATTTAAAATCTCTCTAGAGTCCATGCCCAGAGTGAATCAACCTGCCACACATCTCTGCTCATCATGATGTTATGCCTGGTAGGTAGCTTGTAGGGTAGAAAAGGTGGTGAACTTCTAAAAACATTAGCATGGGCTATGGACTGCCTCTGCCAGGACTATGGTGAGCCCCTTTCCTCCAGGCTCTCCTGCATGGCTCAGGACATCCAGTGTCCTGGTGTCCTTACATCCTTCATTTTGATACCTTATCCCAGCTTCCAAAAAGTGCAGAACAAGCAATACTCTGAGCAATTTAGTCAACCCAAGCCCAAGCTGTTCTCCTTAACTAAGGATCTGTGAAGCTGCCTGCAGGGTATTTCTTACCAGGCAAGGGATCTCATTCTTTCTCATTTGTGAGAAAGAAATGGAGTTACTCGTGCCCAGAGAAGATGCCTTTTGGCTTACCTGCTAGCTTTAATCTTCTTATTCCTTGTCACTTGTGATCAAAAAAGCGGGAATCCAGACTTTTTGAGTACAGTAAACCCGTTTGTTAAATGGGAATAAATAAGCAGGCGTTTCCCTCATTAGGTTAGAAATGCACAAAGTTAGAAAGTAAGGCTGGAATTCTTGTCACCACCAGGAGTGGACACTAATTTGTTCCACTGAGATAACTGTCCCCGGATGAATTGCACCTATCCAGAGTATTACTGGCCCAGTGTTCAGGCTCATTCTAACAGCAGACATGAAAGAATTCTGTACTACACATGAGCTGCCCTACATTTTCCATTAATATTTAAAATCTCTCTAGAGTCCATGCCCAGAGTGAATCAACCTGCCACACATCTCTGCTCATCATGATGTTATGCCTGGTAGGTAGCTTGTAGGGTAGAAAAGGTGGTGAACTTCTAAAAACATTAGCATGGGCTATGGACTGCCTCTGCCAGGACTATGGTGAGCCCCTTTCCTCCAGGCTCTCCTGCATGGCTCAG